TACTCTGACGCCATGGGAGAGCAAAGGATGGTCGAGGATGGCTGAAACAGTGGTATGACATGACAAGTGTACATAGCTAATCTTATACTGCTATCTCAACAATAATTCCATGCAGTGATTGCAATGACATTTCAATTTAACATTTCACTAACTTTTCTGTTTCTACTATGTGCTGGTGACTGTCCCAGGCCCTGGAATGAAGCAGCGTCAGATAAGAGTCCTGCCCTCGTAAAGCTTACATTCTATGGAGGAATACAGCAAATAAACATGAATCTGTATTAGGATAAATATTATAAAGGAACTAAACAGGGTCATGAGGCCAGGCACGGTGGTTCACACCTGTAATCCCAGTATTTTGGGATGCTGAGGCAGGCAGATCACCTGAGGTCAGGAGTTTGAGACCAACCTGGTCACATGGTGAAACCCGATCTCTACTAAAAGTACAAAATTATCTAGGTGTGGTGGCACATGCCTGTAATCCCAGCTACTCGGGAGGCTAAGGCAGGAGACTCGCTTGAACCTGGGAGGTGGAGGTTGTAGTGAGCCAAGATCACGCCATTGCACTCTAGCCTGGGCAACAAGAGTGAAACAGTGTCTCAAAAATAAATAAATAACAGGGTCATGATAAACTTATGGGAGAAGACGATTTTGTTTAAGGTGGTAAAGGAAAGCCTTTCTGAGAAAGAGGCATTTGGGTGAGACTCAAATATGGAGAATATTCCAAATATAAACATAGCTAGAACAAGTCATTCCAGGAGGAGGGATCAGCAAATGCAAAGGCCTGGAAGGAGAAAGGGGCCTCTGTGTTCAAGGACCAGGAAGAAGGAAAATACAGCTGAAGTATGATAAGTGGCAGATAGAATGGTGTTTGTTTTCTAAGCATTGCTGATATAGGATGTGAAAAAAAGAATTGCCTTCCAAGGTTTAAATTTTGAAATCAATGCATAATGGATCATATGTTTATTGAAACGCCTTTTGGTTTGTCAACCTAAGTAAGGAACAGAGGATCTCTAAAAGAAAATGAGGCCGGGCGTGGTGGCTCAAGCCTGTAATCCCAGCACTTTGGGAGGCCGAGGCGGGTGGATCACGAGGTCAGGAGATCGAGACTATCCTGGCTAACATGGTGAAACCCCGTCTCTACTAAAAATACAAAAAACTAGCCGGGCGTGGTGGCGGGCGCCTGTAGTCTCAGCTACTTGGGAGGCTGAGGCGGGAGAATGGAGTGAACCCGGGAGGCGGAGCTTGCAGTGAGCCGAGATCATGCACTCCAGCCTGGGAGACACAGCGAGACTCCGTCTCAAAAAAAAAAAAAAAAAAACAAAGAAAATGATATTTATTTAAGAATAGGGTATTGGAATGGGAATATGGGAATATCCATGCCATAGTAAACTACGTGTGTATTCAGGGAGGTAAAAGAGGACTAAGGTTTCTAAAGGTTCTTTTGTAATAACACTTAGCTTAAAAAGCAAAAGGATTGTTCAGCTGTACAAAAATGTTTTCTTTCTTTATAATAGTATCATAAGTTTTTTTCTATTTTTAAATTTTAATTTTTTTTAACCTTTTAAAACCTTTTTTGTTAAAAACTAGGACACCAACACACACATTAGCCTAGGCCTACACAGGGCCAGGATCATCAATATCACTGTCTTCTACCACCACATCTTGTCCCACTGGAAGCTCTTCAGGGGCAATAACACCCATGGAGTTGTCATCTCCTGTGATAGCAATGCCTTCTTCAGGAATACCTCTTGAAGGACCTGACTGGGGCTGTTTTACAGTTAACTTTTTTTTAATAACTAGAAAGGGTACACTCTAAAATAACAATTAAAACTATAATATAGCAAATACATAAACCTGTTACACAGTTCATTATCAAGTATTATGTACTGTACATAATGTGCTGTGCTGTACGTACTGTATGTGCTGTACCTTTTTTTTTTTTTTTTTTGAGATGGGGGATTGCTCTGTCACCCAGACTGGAGTGCAGTGGCATGATCATGGCTCACTGCAGCTCAACTTCCAGGGCTCAAACAATCCTTCTGCCTTGGCGTCCAGAGTAGCTAGGACTACAGGTGTGTGCCACCATGCCAGGCTAATTTTATTTAGTTTTTGTAGAAACGTGTTCTCCCTACATTACCCAGTCTGGACTCGAACTCCTGTGCTCAAGCAGTCTTCCCTGCTCAGCTTCCCAAAGTGCTGGGATTACAGGCGTGAGCCACCCCACCCAGCCCCTTGTGCTATACATTTATACTACTGGTAAGGCAGCATGTACAGTAGCATCACCACATGAGTAGTGCACTGTGCTACATTGTTATCATGGCTACAATATGGCTAAGCATTAGGAATTTTTCAGCTCCATTATAATCTTATGAGCCCACCTTCCTATATGCAGTCCTTGGTTGACCAAAACATCGTTATGTAACACATGAACATACTCAGGATGGTCACTATCTACCATAATCACTTGATTCTCAATAATATCTGGGTTCCATCATGTCTGGAATAAGGGTGATGAATAAATTGGTTCCTATATTCAAGACCTTAGAAATTTGAGATTAGAGTAGATAATAAACATGTGAACACATAATCATGTCCAGCACTGTATGGCAATTTTTAAACAATATGGCAGAGGTATGTCAGGAGAAAGGAATTCATTCTTACTAGAAATATATAGGAAGAGGTCAGTGAGAATATCATAATGGAACTGACTTTTGCAGGACTTGAGTAAATAAAGGAGGAAAAGTAATTGCAGGTACGGGGATAGGGCACATGAAAGGAGTGAACAAAATGCTAAAGGATTCATTAAAGGAATGTGGAATGATTTTGTAAGACTAAATTCTAGAATCCACTGGGATGATGGTACAACAGAAATTTGGGGCTGATGCAAAAATTAGGCCAAAAGTCATAGAAGCCAAAACGTAGACTGCTTAATGTCCAGGCATGAGATTTAGGTTTTGCTTTGTAGCAATGGCAGTTCATCAAAGGATGTGTGATGTGTAAAATTCCTTTGTCAGCAGCTCAGAAGAATGGGCTCAGTAGGCAAAAGGCAGAAAAGAATAGAGGTAGGAGTATCCCTTCAGTGCTGCCTTGCCACTTGTCCAGGCAAAAGAGATGAAAACTTGATTTATGTTGGTCTGTAGAGGCAGAGGGGAAGAGGTGGTTTTAAGAGACCCGGGACATAGAGAACCAACAACACCCTGTGATAGGGAGAGGGAAGGAGATGGGACATTGAGGTTGACTCCAAGGTCTCTCACTACCTAGGGGGTCAAATGGTGATGATGCCACATACTGAGATAGAAAACTGAGGAGAAGGACACATTTAGGTTTCCAACACATTGAGTATGAAACTCTAGGGGAACATTCATGTAGAGCTGTCCCACCTTTAATTGAAAGTCTAAGCCCCTTCTCCAACCCCATCACTTTATTTCATATACTTATAGCTGCTTTTCACAGACTGCATACTGTATACTGCCTGCTAAGCTTCATGACAAGTGATCTAGGCAGATGTCAACAGCCACACATTGCAAAGAAGAAAAATGAGCACTCAGAGATGTTAAACTTGTGCAAGATCACACAGCTGATAATGTGCAAAGCCAGATTTGAATCCAGTTTTGCCTAATTCTAAAGCCTTTATGTCTTCCAACATATTTTGCCTTCTCCTGATCTTGTAACATTTTCCCCTTTTACCCTACGAGACAATTCAGCCTACCTGTTTTAATTAGATGTATAAAATCATTCTTAGCCTGAAAAAAAAAAATGGATTAGTCACTTCATTCTTAGCCAGGGTAGAAGAAGAAATAATAAAAATACTTGCTCTGAGGCATATAGCTGAATTCTTCTGGAGTGTGGTAAGTCCAAACAAACAAATGAGAGTTTTGTGAGTTGAGCCCTAGAAACATAACTATCTTATTTCATAAGGTAAAATGTATATTTCATTAATAAGAAATCATTATTTATAAAGCATTAATAAGTTACCATCACCAATTCTTTGTTAAACAGTGGACTATAGAGAGAGAGTTTGGGCTCTACTTTTGCTAAAGTAAATCTAGTTACTGTGTTGTGAAAATTCAGTATTTCAAGATTTCCCCACCTGTTAACATAGCTGTGACAACTGTATTTTCAAGAAGCTTTTAGAAGTCTCAGACAAAGCTACTGCTGGTGGTAAGATTTAAAATTTTCCCTCAAATATCAAACATGGAGTTCACTCTCCCATTCCTTTGGGTCAATCTCAGAGAGAAAGGGATAATCCTTCCTCTAGTCTTCTCTGCCTTTTGCCTACTGAGCCCATTCTTCTGAGCTGCTGACAAAGGAATTTTACACATCACACATCCTTTGATGGATTACCATTGCTACAAATTTTCTTAAATCTGTGATGGAGTCACACAGGTTACCCACAAAGTCGTGGCTCTCAACCCTGACAGCACATTTAAATCACCTGAAGAACAACAGCAGCAACAAAAACACTGCCCAAGGCAGGGTGGGGTCCAGGCATCAGCTAATGCCAGGCATCAGGGCAGGGTGGGGCCCAGGCATCAACCACTGCCCCAAGGTGGGCAGAACAGAGTAATGGGAAAGAGGTTTGGATTTCAGAATTACAGCTATGCAGTTAATCCTTAATACATATTAAGCATTAGTACACAAAATAAGAGAAGAGTATAATGAGGCTGGGCACGGTGGTGCACGCCTGTAATCCCAGCACTTTGGGAGGCCGAGGCGGGTGGATCACGAGGTCAGGAGACTGAGACCATCCTGGCTAACACGGTGAAATTCCATCTCTACTAAAAATAATACAAAAAAACTAGCCGGGCGTGGTGGCGGGCACCTGTAGTCCCAGCTACTCGGGAGGCTGAGGCAGGACAATGGCTTGAACCCGGGAGGCGGAGCTTGCAGTGAGCCGATATTACACCACTGCACTGCAGTCTGGGGGACAGAGCGAGACTCCGTCTCAAAAAAAAAAAAAAAAAAGAACCACTGTATTAAGGTGTTATAGTAAGTTCTCTCAGCAATAAAAATGGTTAGCAATAAGTAAAAGCCACAGCACTTTTCACTTCATTCACTGCTGTGTCATGTCAAATTCCTAATTCTTGTATTCTTGCCTCAATATATTTAATAAAGGAGGGAATATCAAAATAATTGAATTATTCTTCAGAAGGAAATCAAATATCATCCCTTAGACTTCACTTGATAAAGCTCCAAGACATTTAAAATTACCTTTTTACAGATTAATGTATCTACCTGTACATGAATGTATGTTCTTTCATATGTTTAAACGTGTATTTGTGCTTTTCGAGGGTGTCCTTTCATCATCACTTTTCCAGATGTCTCAGTTTACTCAGCTGCTCTTTACAATTAAGTTTGTTGTTTAAGTCAGTTGGTCTGGCCACGATGCTCTTCACAGCACAAGGAGAGACTGCCAGTACAGAAGGTAAGGGTCTGGTACCAGCCCAGCATAGGTGGGTCTTATTTCTTTTTTAATAAGTTTTATTTGTTTGTAATTGACAAATAATGATTGAACATGTGGGGTGCAATGTGATGGCTCAGTATACATTCTGTAATGATCAAACCAGAGTAATTATCATATTCATCACCTCAAACATTTATCATTTCTTTGTGGTGAGAACATACAAAATCCTCTCTTCCAGCTATTTTGAAATATATAGTACATTGCTATTAACTGTAGTCCCTCTACTGTGTAATAGGACACCAGAACTTATTGCTCCTGTCTGTCTGAAATTGTGTACCCTTTGATCAACATCTCCCCTTTCCGTATCCACACACTTCCCCAGTCTAGTTTAGTCTCTAAATCTACAAGTTCAATTTTTTAGATTCCACATATGAGTGAGATCATACAATATTTGTCGCTCTGTGCCTGGTTTATTTCACTTAACATAATGTCCTCCAGGTTCATCAATGTTGTACCAAATGATAGAATGTCCTAGGCTTAATCTCATCCCTACTACTAACTAGCTGTGTCCTTAGGCAAATGGCAAATGGCTTAATCTCTGAAAGCTTGTTTCCTTATCTATGGAAATGAGGTTAACAGTAGTACCACCCCACAAGGGGTGGTACTCACAAGGTTTTTGTGGACTACGTTTAGTATTCAGTAAATACTACCTGTTGATATTATGACTTTGTGAAAGTTGTCAAAATTAAAATTGAATTGCTTACATTAAAAAAAAAAAAAAAAAAAAAAACCTTGACAAATCCAGCCAGGGAAGCCTATGAAGAGAAAGTTCTCATGCATGGATATATGATAACAAAAGCTGTCACAAAAGATTGCAAAAACGGCAATCTTATATAAAGACCATTAAAGGATATTAGTCCATTCTTGCACTGTTATAAAGAACTACCTGAGACTGGGTAATTAATAAAGAAAAGAGGTTTAATTGGCTCAGGATTCTCTAGGCTGTACAGGAAGCATGACTGGGGAGGCCTCAGGAAACTTACAATTATGGTGGAATGTGAAGAGAAAGGAGGCAAGTCTTCCAAGGTCAGAGCAGGCAGAAGAAAGAGCGGGAGGAGGTGCTACACATTTTAAACAACCAGATCTCATGAGAACTTACTATCACGAGAACAGGAAAGGGAAAATCCACCCCCATGATCTAATCACCTCCCACCAAGCCTCTCCTCCAACACTGGAGATTACAATTCAACATGAGATTTGAGCAGGGACACAAATCCAAACCATATTACACACCTTACACAAAAATACTTCTGCAAGGACATCTACCCAGAAACAGCCTGTCCAACCTCAGACAGACATCACCCTTTTTACTGATCCTTGTAAACAAAAATAATTATCTCAAAATAATTATGTAATCTTCATCATTTTTCCTTTAAAAGCCTTTACCTCCTTGAGTAGTCACGTAGTTTACTATGGTACATGTATTCCCATTGCAATACCCTATTCTGAATAAATATCATTTTCTTTTAGAGAGCCTCTCTCTGTTATATAGGTTGACAACTTCCAGAAGCATCTTTGCTTTTAATGAAGATATAAAATGCTTGCAAATTTTTGAAGAAGATATGAAGTAGAAACATAGAATTTTTGTGGACTTTGAGATAAACCATTTAAAGCAGTGCTTTCCAAACCTTAACATGTACACAAATCACTAATAATCTTGTTAAAATCCAAATATTGATCCAGTATGTCTGAGGTGGGGTCCGAGATTCTGCAGTTCCAACAGGCTCCGTCAGTGCCAATGCTGCTTGTCCTGGGTTGAAATCACTGAGCTCATGTCCTGGAATATGTGAATTACCCAGTAAACATTAGCTATTGGTACTGTGACTTCCAGAAACCTCTTTGATTTTAAGTAAAATTTTAAATATTTTTAGGTTCTTGAAGTAGGTAACATTAAGTGGATCTTTCAAAACCAGAGGATGATTATAAGATGTAACTATTCTTAATTATTTTGTTTTGGTATAAAAAGGAGGAAGGAGTGTCTTTTATTTCTATCCTTTTAATAAGCTGCTTTTTCCTCTCTTACTCAGGGGGGTATTTTTTACATGCCTTAATTCAAAAGTCCAAGTCAATGCTGGAATGAGCTAAGACTTTGGGGGACTGTGGGGAAGGCACAATTGGTTTTGAAATGTGAGGACATGAGATTTGGGAGGGGCCAGAGGTGAAATGATATGGTTTAGCTGTGTCTCCACCCAAATCTCTTCTTGAATTCTGGCTCCTATACTCCCCACGTGTCCTGGGAGGGACACAGTGGGAGGTAATTTAATCATTGGGGGCAGATTTTTCCCATGTTTTTATCATGACAGTGAATAAGTCCGATGGTTTGAAAAAGGGCCATTCCCATGCACATGCTCTTGCCTGCCACCATGTAAGATGTGCCTTTGCTCTTCCTTTACCTTCTACCATGATTGTGAGTCCTCCACAGACTGCTGAACTGTGAGTCAATTAAACCTCTTTCCTTTATAAATTACCCAGTCTCAGGTATGTCTTTATTAGCAGCGTAAGAATGAACTAATACAGTCTAAATCTAAAGTTTATTTTGTTGTACACCTCCTGTTTTTGGAGTTTTACTTGCTTCCAACACAAGGAAGGCAACTTTTCCTGCTTCCATGATGACAGAAGGCAGGTAACTCCTTTATGGAGTTTCAGCTTTTTCCCAACAAAGAAGATGAGTTTGAGTTTTTTCCTGCTTCGAAAATAGTAGAGAGCAGTCTTCAGCCTGAGACCTATCCCTAAGTAAGTAACTGAATTGGGGTTTGTATTGGCTAGATTAAAATTAACAACCAGCTGGTCTTAATTTCTCCTTACCATTAGAGTGCTAAGTAATTGTATAAGTTGTTCAATCATTTGTTTGTTTCACTTAATTGTTTTTTTGTTGTTGTTTGTTAGTGTTTTTGTTATTGTTTCTGTCTTTTTCCCATTGGGTTTGACCAACTCTATCTGACTTGATCATATCCAAAGGAAAGTTCCAAACTGTGGGGAACAACGTCTTTGAAGTAACTAAATTCACACACACACATACACACACACACACACACACACACACACACACACACACACGGTGTGTTGCGGGGGAAAAGTGGCCAGCAAAAGGGAAAAAAGGAAAGTTTTTTTATTTTCACTACTTAAGGGGCTTTATTTACATAACAATTCCACCTTTTTGCTAACCAGGCCAAACTGAAAGCAATGGCTGTTGCTCCACACTGCCATTCCATAGCTAAGGTTCTGCCTTCTGTTTTTCACCGTGACAGCCTGGGTTTGGTTCCTAAATCAAGCCCTTTCTACTTTGATATGCAGTACTTCTGAAATAGCTGCAATTTTCCCTAGCTGAAATATGATAATGAGATTTAAAACGATTTTTTAAAGGAGCTCAATAGTTAAAAGTCTTCTTAATTAAAAGCTAACATCCAAGATGTGTGTGTGAATGTATATGTGTGTTTGTATTTAAGAGGCTATGTTTTTGGGGTTTTTTTTCTCTCCTAGGACTTTGTGTGTGTGTGTGTGTGTGTGCTTCTTTTTTTTTTTTTTTTTTTTTTTTGAGTGAAAGGTTTTTTTCTTGTCAGTTGACTGAATTCTGTTTTCTTCATTTACTTCTGCTGTCTCTCCTTTCTCTTGCACCCTCTGCTGCATGGGGGAGCTAAAATAGTTTATAATAGCCTGGGGTTCCTTAAAGAAAATGGAGAAGGCATCAGACTCCCTTTTGGGGAGAAACCTCTGTTTTTTGTTATAGAACCCTAAGAGTGTAAGCAGACAACTTCATCTCAGCTCTTAAACTGCTTGCTTTTGTATTGTGTTACCCGATTTTTAACTAAAATAGTTATCACAACGGAGGATACTCTAGGTTTTTAGGAAGAGTGTGGTTTAGACACTTAGAAATGTCTTTGTTTAAAGAAAAAAAATTAAGTGCACTGCAAAAGCATCGTGTTGCTAGCCTCATAATAACTCTCCTTTTTCGGAGACCCAGGATTCATTCAGTGTGGGCTCTGCCAAGAGCTCAGAGACCCAGTTAAAAAATAGGTAGTCCCTACCTAAATAAAACTGGTCTCCTTATACAATCCTATGCTAGATTGCTATAATTTTATGTTTGATTTGGCATCCATCTTTAGTCTTCCTCTAGCACCACCAGACTTTTTCTCTCTGTACCTTGAAAGGTAAATTTTGCTCTCTGAGTTTTCACCTAAGAGTTGTTTCCTTCAATATGCAGATTGTCTGACAACTGCCAGGGCAATGAAACAGGTTATCAAAAGTTTGCAAGTCTAAGACAGGGGAAAAAAAAGGAGGTCTTATGAGTCTATAAGATGTACTTCTATCAGGATGCCTAATACATCTATGTATTTATGTGTTCAATACTGAAAAATATATAAAAGAGCTCTAATTAACTGGCTTAAAGAAAAATAAAAGCATTTAAATCCTTTATCAGAAAAAAAAGACTAGTCAAATGTTTTTTCACCTTTATGTGACTTAAGTAAAATCTTTAATAAATAAGCTAGCTTTAAAATTATTGGTAAAGTAATACTAGAAATGTCTTAAGAATTGCCAGCATACATTTTTGTTTGCATTTATTAATCAAGCAATTTCATACAAATACTGCCAAGCCCTATAAGGTGTCAAAATTTGGCATAGGGGTCACAAAACTCTAAACCCAACCCCAAACAAAATGGTCTTATTTCTGTAATTTTTAATAAATAAGTCATTGATATTGGTTTAATGAAAATAGCTACATCTTGAATTATTTAGTAAAATTACCATAACTTCTAACCTGTGGCAGTAAGCAGTCTAGTCCACAGACAGGAAAGAGGTTTGTTTTGGGAAAGGGCTGTTATCATCTGTTTCAAAGCTAAATCATAAACTAAGTTCCAAAAGTTAGTTAAGCCTACACCCAGGAATGAACAAGGACAACTTGGAGCTTAGAAGCAAGATGGAGTCAGTTAGGTCAGATCTTTTTCACTGTCTCAGTTATAATTTGGCAATGGCAGTTTTATAACTTTAAATAATGATTATCATAGTTTTCATAACTAATCTAGGTAAGTGATTAAAATAAAACATTTAGGTAAATGTAATGAGATAAATACTTGTAGACAAACTTGGCATAATTTAGAATCTAAAGTTATATTAAATTAAATAATAAATATTACATTTCTTGAGTATCTTCCAATAAAACTATATTGTAGGAAAACATTCTTCAAAAAAAAAAAAAAAAAGTATGTCCTTTTTAAAAGAAAGGTGAACAAGTTTTGTCTAATTCAAAGCTTTTTTTTTTTTTTTTTTTTTTTTGAGATGGAGTCTTGCTCTGTCACCCAGGCTGGAGTGCAGTGGCATGATCACAGCTCACTACAATCTCCGCCTCCTGGGTTCAAGCAATTCTCCTGCCTCAGCCTTCTGAGTAGCTGGGATTACAGGCACCCACTGCCATGCCTGGCTAATTTTTGTATTTTCAGTAAAGACAAGTTTCACCATGTTGGCCAGGCTGGTCTCAAACTCCTGACCTCAGGTGATCCACCTGCCTCAGCCTCCCAAAGTGCTGGGATTACAGGCGTGAGCCACCATGCCTGGCCCTAATTCAGAGCTTATTTAAAGGTTAGGTATATAATGAGGTAATATGGTTTGTCTGTGTCCCCACCCAAATCTCATCTTGAATTCCCAGGTGTTGTGGGAGGGACCTGGTGGGAGGTAATTGAATTGTGGGGGCAGGTCTTTCCTGTGCTGTTCTTGTGATAGTAAGAAAGTCTCATAAGATCTGAAGGTTATTATAAGGGGGAGCTTTCCTGCACAAGCTCTCTCTTTGCCTGCTGCCATCCGTGTAAGATGTGACTTGCTCCTCCTTGCTTTCTGCCATGATTGTGAAGCTTCCCCAGACAGGTGGAGCTGTAAGTCCAATTAAACCTCTTTCTTTTGTAAATTGCCCAGTCTCTGCTATGTCTTTATCAGCAGTGTGAAAACAGACTAATATACAAGGTAAAAGGAACCAGGAAATAAGAGAGACATAAAGGAAGTTATAGAAATAAAGGAGTATTTTTTGGTAAGAAAGCTTAAACAGAAATAATTTTATATGAGAAAGAATCTTGTATGGTAAATTTAGTCCTAGAATAAAATGACTGGTTGTTTAAGAAAGAGGGATGTTCAGGGCAAACCAGAAAGTCCAAGCATGTGATGAATGGTCTGTGTAAGTCCCAATAATAGTATTTAAAAAACCAAAAACTTTTATATGATCAAGTTGCCTATAATTAAAGGGTAATTATAATGGTATTTCCAGAGATTGGGTTTGGTGGGAAAAAAACCACTTATACACTAAAGAATTGGTTAGAACAATGAAGTTTTCTTAAGGGGTTGATTTACTCTTAATAAATTATAAGAGATTCTAATTTTTTAAATCCAAAGTTCAACTTTTATTGCATCTCACCTTTTTTTGGTTTTCTCTCCCCCTTTTAAAGGATGTGAAATATGTAACACTCTTCTTCAACTCATTTTCAGCTCATGTAAGTTTTTTTCCTCAGGTTCTGTTTGTTGTGGTCTGATGCTAACAATGTTTTCTTAAAGGTCTAAAGGAAATGTTTTCTTTCAACATAATATTCTGTGCACTGCAGAAGGCCTTTTCTTTTGCCTTTTGGCAACTGGCCTAACAGATTTTACATTTTATCAAAATAAGTCCTATGCCATTATTATTAAGTTTTGGTTTGCTTAGAAAAAAATTGAGATGAAAATATTTTTTAATTAAAGTTATTACATCTGTGTATCTTTCTGTATGTGCTTTTAAAGTCCTTGTGACATTGAGTTACAGGGCTTTAAATCCTGGGTCTAAAAAGGAGACCAAGTCCTGCTAAATCTTAAACGCTGACAGCAATTAAAGCGTCATCTTCAGGTCTAGTAGAATATGCCAATCAAAATAAACTGCGTTCCTGAGACACAGGGCTGAAATTAAAGCTATTCAACTCCTTAAGTCCTAGGGACAATGATGAAAGAGATGGGATTGTGAGATTGTAATGGCCAATTTTGAAAGATAAAATAAGTTCAGTTTCTCTATAAATTAACCATTAATGTCAAAGGCACACTGATGAAAGATTAGTATATGGGCTCCTATGTCAGATTAACAAGGTTTTCTTGAAACATTAACCAGCTCCTTAATAAAGTTTTATTTAATAAAGGTTATATTAAATAAATAAAGGTTATAAAAGGCTTATGGAAGTTACATCCTATAATCAAGATTAAAATTCTATAGATTATTTATAAAATTTTGTAAAACAAATTTAATTGGCTTCATGCTGTTTTCATTAGGGCTTATTGTTCAGAAAAATAAGTCACCTCTCTCAAAGAATGAAAGGTTTTGCCTTTTATTGAAATCCTTGAGTTATCATTTTGGTTAAATGAATTACATATTTGACAATGATCTGTGATTTTATTTTGTGATATCAAGTGTTTTAAACCTTTGATATTTGACAAACATTCAAAAATCAAATAATAAATTATGTCTTTTTCTAACCTAATTAATTGGTAAGATATTAAATTCCCTAAAGTCCAAAAATGACATATTTGGCTTATTTGGTATAAAAATTATACAGGAAGCATTGTCAAATATGAAATGGTGTCTGGCTTTCTTTGGGCTGTATTTGTATAAATACGTTACTGGTATGTGTTCCAAAATTATAGGAAACTCCTATAATTCTGATATGACTTAGTGTATGTTATCCTACACTAAGTGTATAATAGTGTATAATTATTATGTTAAATTATTGTGTGTCACATAGGTAACAAATTTTCTTGTCCATAGTGTCTTTGACTATGGCTGCTCTAAAACTTTTTGGCATCCATGGACAACTGTTGTCTTGTTTTGGTCCTCTTTAGAAGGTGGTTTTATAATCAGCTATAAAACTCTAACAAGTGCTCTTGAGGGCAGGTTTCTGATAACTCTGGAGATTGTCACATCAGAATTGAGGAAAAACTTTTAGGACTCATGGAGAGCCGAAATGTTCATGAATATCAAGCAGAACAGGAATTAACTGCATAGGTTGAACTGGAAGAAGACAGAAGTAATCTTTTTGACGCTTTGCTTAAAACAGTGCTGATCCTTTGTTTTGTTTTTCAGAGTCAAGGAAACTTTTCTTTTGGGCTATTGACAGCTTCTAACAATAAGTATTGTTTCTGGGAACAAAATCTAGAATATATTTGCTTCTCTCTACCTGATTTCTCCAGAATATGAAAACTATTTGTGAATATTCTTAACTTATGGCTATATAGTTATTTCCATAAGTGCAATTAGAGTCTGTTTTTATTTGTAACAGGACACAATTGGAGAAACTGGTTATTTTACCAAAGCTTTGGAATGGTGTGCTTTCTTTTAAGAATCAAACTTGAATTTTAGAGCCAATAAAAGCCCCTTGGGAAAACTGGCCTCATACTTTGTCTACACAGTCCCTGTACAGGGTTTCTGACCTGTGGTAGGTAAAGAATGTCACTTTCTGAGAGGCCCAGGAACCCTAAGTAATCTTGGGACCTCAAGAGGAGAGTAATTCACCCAACTCATAGGTATTTGATGGTACAAATCCATGGTTGGGCTGGGCTTTTAAAAAGTCTTATCTGAAATTCTGTCTCTGGAACAAAGTTCCATCAAAGCCAATTTTAAAACCTATGTGAAAAATAATTATTCTTGCTGTACTTTATACAAATAACCTGGGCAAGTATGGTAAAGCAAATTGGTCCTACCATGATTTGTCTTTAGTAAAAATGGGAAACTGGAGAGAGTAAAATTATGTTTCAAAAACACCAGAACACCTGTTGTTAGATTCTAGTCTTGCCTAATATTTTTCAATTTTTATTATTTTCTACAGTTTGGACTGAATTTTAATTTTTCCTGGCTACATGTCTCCAAAATAAAGTTTTCAAATTTTTCTTCTTTCTTTTCCTTTTTCTCCCTCACTTTTCCTAATTTGAAATCACTGAAAACTAACCTATGCTTTCTTAAAACCCTGCAAACTGAAGCTAGACAATTTAAACTTCAGAAGAAAATAATAGCAACCTATTTATATACATAATCCACTTTCATACGTGCTTAACATATGTATAGACTTCAGAGTAATGTGGTCTATATCGATTTTCCAAGATTGTTCTTTCGTTTGTTATTGTTTTTCTCCCTTCATCCCGCTATTTTCTCTTCATAGGATATGAGACTTCACAACCTGCTAAAATGAGCTTTCCTAATAACTCAGGATCTACCTGTCTAGGAATAAACCATCCTAACCATGAGAGATCAGATGAAACCTGAGACCAGAGATTCATTTTCTTCTAAAATGCTTTCTCCAAAAGACTTTAAAAAAGAAAAGGTGGGAAATGTGAAAGGAAAATAAATATTGGTGCCCCAAAATCACTAAGCTAAAGGGAAGAATCAAGCTGGGAACCGCTTAGGGCAAACCTGCCTCCCATTCTATTCAAAGTTATCCTTCTGCTCACTGAGATAAATACATATCTGATTTTCTCCTTTGGAAAGGCTAATACTCAAAAGAATGCAATCATTTCTCTCTCACCTACCTGTGACCTGGAAGCCCCCTCCCTGCTCAAGTTGTCCCACCTTTTTGGATGGAACCAATGTACATCTTACATATATTGATTGATGTCTCATGTCTCCCTAAAATATATAAAACCAAGCTGTGCCCCAACCACCTTGGGAACATGCTGTCAGGACCCTCTGAGGCTGTGTCATGGGCGCACATCCTAACCTTGGAAAAATAAACTTTCTAAGTTAAGTGAGACCTATCTCAGATATTTGGAGTTCATAGACATTCCAAACTTTCCCTCATCTTCCTTTCTTCTTCTGAGCCCTCCACACTCTTCCAACCTCTACCCATTACCCAGTTCCAACATTGCTTCTGCATTTTCAGGTATCTTTATAGCAATGCCCTACTCGTCAGTACTAATTTTGAGTATTAGTCCATTATATCAGACTGCTATAAAGAACTACCTGAGACTGGGTAATTTTAAAGAAAAGAGGTTTAATTGACTCATGATTCTGCAGGCTATACAGGAAGCATAATGATTTTTGCTCAGCTTCTGTGGGGGTGCCTCAGGAAACTTACAGTCATGGCAGAAGTCAAAGGGGAAGCAGGCATGTCTTACATGGCCAGAGTAGGAGGAGAAGAGAGGTGGGGAGGTGCTATACACTTCTAAATGACCAGATCTCATGGAAACTCACTCACTCAGTATTACAAGAACAGCACCAGGAGATGGTGCTATACCATTTATGAAGGACCACCTCCATGATCCAATCATGTCTCACCTGGCACCACCTCTAATATTGGGAATTACAATTTTGACATGAGATTTTGGTGGGAACACAGATCCACACCATATTATCTTTAGTACTGTTTATATTTTTTTAATTTTTATGAGTGTACAGTAGGTGTATTTATTTATGGAGTATAGGAGATATTTTGATACAGGCATACAGTGCATAATCATCACATCAGGGTTAGTAGGGTATTCATCACCTCAAGCATTTATCATTTCTTTGTGTTAGAAAGATTCCCTTTTAGTTATTTTTAAGTGTACACTAAATTATTGCTGACTGTGGTCATGCTATTGTGCTATCCAATACTCTTATTCTATCTAACTATATTTTTTTAACCAGTAAGCATACCTACCTTTCCCTCACCTCCATACTACACTTCCCAGCCTCTGGTAACCATCATTCTACTCTCTATCTTCATGACTTCAACTGTTTTAATTTTTAGCACCCATAAATGAGTAGGAACATGCAAAGTTCGTCTTTCTGTGCCTGGCTGGCTTATTTCACTTAACATAAAGTCTTCCCATTCCATATATGTTGTTGCAAATGACAGGATCTCATTCTTTTCCATGGCTGAGTAGTACTCCATTGTATTTATGTACCATATTTTCTTTATCCATTTGTCTGTTGGTGGAAACATAGGTGACTTCCAAATCTTGACTACTGTAAATAGTGCTGCAATAAACATGGATGCAGATATTTCTTTGACACTCATTTTTCTTTTAGGTATATGCCTGGCAATGGGACTGCAGAATCATATGCTAGTTCTATTTTTAGGTTTTTAGAAACCTCCATACTGCTCTCCATAGTGGTTGTACTAATTTACACTCCTACCAACAGTGTGCATAGGTTTCCTTTTCTCCACTTTCTTTCCAGCATTACTATTGCCTGTCTTTGGATAAGAGCTGCATCAACTAATGGGCAAAATAACCAGCTACCATCATAATGATAGAATCAAATTCACACATAACAATATTAACCTTAAATGTAAACGGGCTAAATGCCTCAATTAAAAGACACAGACTGGCAAATTGGATAAAGAGTCAAGACCCATCGGTGTGCTGTATTCAGGAAACCCATCTCATGTGCAAAGACACGCATGGGCTTAAAATAAAGGGATGGAGGAACATTTACCAAGCAAATGGAAAGCAACAAAAAAGCAGGGGTTGCAATCCTAGTCTCTGATACAACATATTTTAAACCAACAAAGATTGAAAAAGACAAAAAAGAATATTACATAATGGTAAAGGGATCAATGCAACATGAAGAGCTAACTATCCTAAATGTATATGCACCTGATACAGGAGCACCCAGATTCATAAAGCAAGTTCTTAGAGACCTAGAAAGAGACTTAGACTCCCACACAATAATAGTGGGAGACTTTAACACCCCACTGTCAATATTAGACAGATCAATGAGACAGAAAATGAACAAGGGTATTCAGGACTTGAACTCAGCTCTGGACCAAGTGGACCTAATAGACATCTACAGAACTCTCCACCCTAAATCAACAGAATATGTATTATTCTCAGCACCATATCACACTTCTTCTAAAACACTCCTCAGCAAATGCAAAAGAACTGAAATCATAACAAACAGTCTCTCAGACCACAGTGCAATCAAATTAGAACTCAGGATTAAGAAACTCACTCAAAACCGCACAGCCACATGGAAACTGAACAACCTGCTCCTGAATGACTACTCGGTAAATAACAAAATTAAGACAGAAATAAATAAGTTCTTTGAAACCAATAAGAACAAAGACACAATGTACCAGAATCTCTGGGACACAGCCAAAGCAGTTTTTAGAGGGAAATTTATAGCACTAAATGCCCACAGGAGAAAGCAGGAAAGATCTCTAAAAATTTTTATAAATTAGCCAGGTGTGGTGGCACACATCTGTAGTCCCAGCTACTTGGGAGGCTGAGGTGGGAGAATTGCTTGGGCCAGGAGGTTCAAGGCTACAGTGAGCTGTGATCATACCACTGCACTCCAGCCTGGGTGAGAGAGAAATGATTGCATTCTTTTGAGTATTAGCCTTCTCAAAGGAGAAAATCAGATATGTATTTATCTCAGTGAGCAGAAGGATAACTTTGAATAGAATGGGAGGCAGGTTTGCCCTAAGCAGTTTCTAGCTTATTTTTCCCTTTAGCTTAGTGAGAGTGAGATTCTGTTTTAAAATAAAATAAAAGGAAAGGAAATATTATTGAATCAGTATTTTGAAACTTGCCAACCAAAAATAGCCCTGGATCAGACAATTCACAGCCAAATTCTACCAGACATACAAAGAAGAGCTGGTACCAATCCTACTGAAACTATCCCCAAAAAATCAAGGAATACCAATCCTACTGAAACTATCCCAAAAAATAAAAAAATCCTAACTCATTCTATGAAAAAAGTATCATCCTGGTATGAAAATCTGGCAAGGATACACACACACACACACACACACACACACACGGATGCCAGTATCCTTGATGAACACAGATGCAAAAAATCCTCAACAAAATACTAGCAAATTAAATACAGCAATACATCAAAAAGATAATTCACCACAATCAATCAAGTGGGCTTGATTCCTGGGATTCAGGGATGGTTCAACATATGTAATATAATTTGGATCTGTGTCCCCACCCAAATTTCATGTGGAATTGTAATCCCCAGTATTGGAGGTGGGGCCTGGTGGGAGGTGATTGGATTATGGGGGCATGTTTCTCATGAACAGTTTAGTACCATCCGTTTGGTGCTGTTCCCATGATAGTGAGTGAGTTCTGACAAGATCTGGTTGTTAAAAAGTGTGTGGCACCTTCTCCCTCCCTCTCTTCCTCCTGATCCGGCCATGTAGGATGTGCCTGCTTCTTTTTCACCTTCTGCCATGACTGTAAGTTTCCTGAGGCCTCCCCAGAAGCCATCATGCTTCCTGTACAGCCAGTGGAATCGTAAGCCAATTAAACCTCTTTTCTTTATAAAGTATCCAATCTCAGGTATGTCTTCATAGCAGTGCAAGAACAGACTAATACAATATGCAAATCAATAAATGTGGTTCACCACACAAACAGAATTAAAAACAATAACCCTATGATTAACTTAATTGATACGAAAAGGCATTCAAAAAAATCCAACACGCTTTCATGACAAAAATCCTCAAGAAAGTAGGCATCAAAGGAACATACCTCAAAATAACAACAGTCATTTTCAACAAACCCACAATGAACATCATACTGAATGAACCAAAGTTGAAAACATTTCCCTCAAGAGCTAGAACAAGATAAGGATATCCACTCTTACCACTCCTATTCAATACAGTACTGGAAGTCCTAGCCAGAGCAATCAGGCAAAAGAAAGAAAGAAAAGGCACCCAAACAGTAAAAGAGAAAGTCAAATTATTTATGTTAATTGACAATATGATTCTACACCTAGAAAACCCTAAAAATTCCTACAAAAGAATCCTAGACCTGGCAGAAAACTTCAGTAAAGTTTCAGGGAACCAAATCAATGTACAAAAATCAGTAGCATTTATATATTCCAGAATATTCAAGCTGAGAACCAAATTAAGAACATAATCCCATTTACAACAGCCACACACACACACACACATACACACACACACACACACACACACACACACGGTTAGGAATGTATCTAACCATGGAGAGGAAAGATGTCTACAAAGAGCACTACAAAACAGTGACGAAAGAAATCATAGATGACACAAACATAGGAAAACATTCCATGCTGTAAATGTCCATACTGCCCAAAGCAATTAACAGATTTAACACAATTCTTATCAAATTACCAACATTATTTTTTATGGAATTAGGAAAAACAATCTTAAAATTCATATAGAACCAAAAAAGAGCCATAATAACCAAGGTAATCCTAAATAAATAGAACAAAGATGGAGCCATCACATTACCCAACTTCAAACAGTACTGCAAGACTACAGTAACCAAAACAGCATGGTAC